TCCTATAGAATCACTATGAATTGGACTTGACAGCAACAGATTTGATTTTGGATACTATAGAAGAAGGAGCCCTGGTGGCACAGTGGTTAAAGAGCTCTGCTGCTAAACAAAAGGTCAGCAGCGCAAACCCACCAGCCGCTTGGTGGGAGAAAGATGTGGCAGTCTGCTCCTATAAAGATTTCTTGGAAACCCTATGGGACAGTTCTACTCCGTCCTATAGGGTCACTATGAGTCGGAATCAACTCAACAGCAACGAGATTGGTTTTGGTTTATACTATAGAAAAAGGAGCCCTGGTGGCACAGTGATTAAGTGTTCGACCGCTAGCCAAAAGGTCAGCAGTTCGAACCCACCAGCGGGTCCGTGGGAGAAAAGACCTGGCGATCTGCTCCTATAAATTTTATAGTCTAGGAAACCCAATGGGGCAGTTCTACTCTGTCATATAGGGTCGCTGTAAGTCGGAATCGACTTAATGGCACAACAACAACAATATACTCTAGAAGGTGGGGCTAGAGACTTCTTAGGTCTCTTCCAAATCTAGGAATCTATTTGGTATTCCACGAAGTAGAAGGAGTGCCTCGAATGGTACCATCTCCCACAAAGATTACAGCCTAGGAAACCCTATGGGGCAGTTCTACTCTCTCATATGGGGTCCCTGGAAGGCAGGCGTGGGCGAAGGGTGGGTCCAGGTACTGAGGAGGGAAAAAATGGCCACCTTGTCTCGTCTATGCCCCTTGCATCTAGTCCTGCCAGTAGAGGTTGAGGGTCTTCCCCCAGGACCCTCCACATTACATGTGGAGAGGTGTGGAGACCAAATTCCGTTGCCCCCACCACAGATGTGCCCTCAAGAGCTGCCCTGGGAGCCTCACCTCGGGATCCCAGGTTGAAGTTTTTGAGCTTGGACTGGCATGACTCACCCTGGGGGTGATTGTGAATGATATCAAAGACATCATTCTGAGTGTGAACGATACCAATGAGGAGAAGACCATAAGCTTATGGCACAGTCCCTGGCCCTCCAGCCCACTCCTTTGTCTGGGAATCCTGGGTTGGGTATACAGTCATTGCCTCTGGACGACGGTGTCTATATTTGGGAACATGTGGACATCTGACTCCGTGTGTACTCATGGTGGGCATGCGTGTGGATGTGGTTATCTCTGTTGGTGTGACCTTAGCAACTTTGCTCACCTGTAAATCCCTTGTGTACGGGCATGTATGTGTGCATATGTGTCTGTATTTATGGAGGCCACTTGGTATAAGAGAGCGAAGATGGGACTTAGAATCAGGAGGAGTGGATTCAAGTCCCACCTCTCTGCTTCCCAGCCGTGGGGCCTTGGGCAATCTCTTAAGATCAAAGCCTCAATGCTCCCACAGCTAGGCTCATTCACAGACCTGGGCAAAGGTTAAACGAGATAATGTAGATGAGAGAGCTCTCTGGATGCAGCGTGGCACAGCAGAAAGTGAGCTGGTTTTATGTCTGTGTATAGCTCATTCCTTCCATAAACACTGAGAATCTCCCAGGCGCCATGGACGCAGTAAACAATGTAGGCTGGGTCCTCTCTCATGGAGGGCAGGTGGCAAAGAGTTACATCGATAATTTTTTTTCCCAGTTGCTGGTCAGTGGATTCCAACACATGGTGACCCATGTGTGTCAGAGTAGAACTGTGCTCCATAGGGTTTTCAATGGCTGATTTTTTGGAAGTAGATGGCCAGGCCTTTCTTCCAAGGTGCTTCTGGGTGGACTCAAACCTCCAACCTTTTGGTTAGCAGCTGAGCACGTTAACCATTTGTACCACCTTAGCAACCTCATTGATAAGTCCTCCCTTACAATTGGGATGGGAAAAATACAAGGTGTTATGAGTCCATGAAGGAGCCCTGGTGGGGCAACAGTTAAGTCCTTGGCTGCTAACCATTTGGCAGTTTGAACCCATGCAGTGGCTCTGTGGGAGAAAGACCTGTCGGTCCGCTCCTGTAACGATTACAGCCTAGAAAATCCTATGGGGCAGTTCTACTGTGTCAAATGGGGTTGGTATGAGTTGAAAATCAACGTGACAGCACCTAATAACAACCACGAGTCCATGTCAGTGTACTGGTGTACACAAGTGTGTCTCTGTGACACGTGCGTCTGTGGGTGCTGATGTGTGGGTCCACACCTGTGTGCCCACACCCACTCTCTCTAGTAGTGGTGGGGATGGGTATGTAGCAGTAGGGTATTTGTTAAATACCTGTTTTGTGAAGGTTACAGTCGTAGGGGAAGGAGAGTGATAAAATCTTTACGTGAAACAGTGCCAGAGCAGTCACAGAGTAAAGCAGCCGAGTGAGCAAATTAGAGATGAGTTGATAGATGATATCAGCGTACAATTTAAACAATAAACCACAAAAGCCTGCGGGCTTGGAAAAAATAGCTAAACTTCCTGCTCCACGATAACTCAAGGTCAGTTTTGCATGCTTTCTTTTGATTGTTTCTTGTCATTTTTAAACACGTCATTGGTATGGCATATCTTATCAGAAGTCATGGGATCCACTGATCCGTTGGGTATTTCTGAGCTGATTTGAACTTTGCTCTGAAATTCACCATCTGCCAAGGCAATAAATAAGTTTACAAGAGCAGCTGGGTTTCTACAAAATGTTTCTGCTGCTGTCACAGGGTTGCTGGTCTGGAAGCACATCCCGGGCAGGGTGGGATTCCCCGATGGTCAGACTCACCATGGGTTAGCACTGGTCAAAGCAAGGGTGCAAAACAAGAAAAAAGAGGAAGGAAAAGGAAATCCCTGCTTTGATGAATTCTGGATAAGCAGAATTTTACAATTAGGAAGTCTAGAAGGATTTAATTTTAGCACATGTAGAATTTGAGGTTGGGGGAGTAATATTAAAATGGAGTCCCTGGGTGGTGCAAACCGTTAACGCACTGGCCGCTAACCAAAAGACTGGAGGTTTGAGTTCACCCAGAGGCACCTCAAAAGAAAGGCCTGGTGATCTACTTTTAAATTGTCAGCCATTGGAAACCCTATGGAGCACAGTTCTTCTCTGACACACGTGGGTTTGCCATGAGTAAGTGGACTCAATGGCAACTGGTTAATATTAAAACTGAATTGTCTCAGGGCATGCAGAACACACCCTCCACAGAGAAGTTCCACAGAAGGTTTTATTCCTCGTGGTGGGTGGGTTTTCCTTCTTTGGCTTAATCTCTGGGGCTAGAGACCAACATGGGGGGGGCACAAGAGTTTGAAGACAGAATCTTTAGAACATTATGGAGGAGGAGCAGTTTGAGAGGTAGAAGGAGGACTGGGCTGAGCTCAGCCCTCCCACCCTCTCCCTGCCTCTGCGGCTGCAGCAGCTGCTGCGTTGGGCTCTCTCTCACCTCCCTCTGGGCTCTGGGCACTTGTAATCCCAGGAATGGGGTAGCCAAACCAAGGCAGTTTTTTTGAAAAATCATTAAAAAAAAAAAAAAAACCAAACCCAAAACTAAACCTATTGCCGTCAGGTAGATTCCGACCTATAGCAACCCACAGGACAGAGCAGACCTGCCCCGTAGGGTTTCCAAGGCTGTAAATCCTTAAACAGAAGCCGACTGCCGCATCTTTCTCCTACAGAGCCAGCGGGTGAGTTCAAACTGCCGACCTTTGGGTTAGCGGCTGAGCACTTAACCATTGTGATACTGGGGCTCCTTCAAGAAGGAAAAACATGGCCTCATGAAATTATATTGATGCTCTGATTAGAAGTGGCAGCGTGTCCTTTGAAAGCGGTAGGAGGACACTGCGGCCATCAGCAATTGTGAAACGGTTTCCATAGTAATGACAGCTTCCTAAAAGATTACTGCGCCTCTTTTCCCATTAGCTGGGTACAGGCTCCCCAGCCCTCCATGCGACGGGCCACCTCAAGCCAAGTTAGCACAAGAAGAGCAGCTGAGCTGAACAAAAGGGTCCTGTGCGTTCAGCTGGTTTTATGGTCTTGTTGTCGAACAGTTTATCTGCCAATCCCATCCAATTTGCTCTGACCACGGGAACATATAGGAAGAGCAGAAAACCCTGTAAATATTTCTGGCTCAGTTGACTTTGATCTTAAAATCAAATAGAACTTCAACTTAAATGTATCCTCTCTTAAGACCATGTGCTGCTAAAGAGAGTAGGGTAATGGAGACCAGGATATTCTCTTTGAGGGCATTTGCTGCATCTTATTCATTATTACGTCCCTAGCACTGAGCATGGAGTTCCCAGCTGGTGCAAATGGTGAACGCGCTTGGCTGCTAACAGAAAGGTTGGCAGTTTGAGTTTACCCAGAGGCATCTCAGAAGAAAGACCTGGTGATCTGCTTCCAAAAAGCCAGCCATTAAAAACCCTATGGAGCAGAATTCTACTCTGACATACATGGGGTCACCATGAGTCAGAATTGACTTGACGGCAGCTGGTACTGGTACTAGCACCGAGCACAATTCTGGGCACACAGTGGATGCTTATAAAAACAAGGAAAAATCTTGCCCTCTGTGATTTCTTCTCCTTGTCCCACCCCGTACTGTGTTTTGGGAGCACAACCGTAAGGCAGCCTCTGAGGCGGGCAGTTTCCACATAAGGTACTGGTGTGCTTGCTAAGGGTTTTCATTATAACCCAGGTGTTCCTTTGAGGGAACATTAGAACACAAATAAACCCTTCCAAGGTGTCTGCCTCCTCCCTGGCCCATTTTCTCATTTCCTCCAAGATTATCCTCACATGGATACTCAGCAGAGCCAGTTCCCAGTCCTGGCTCTGCTATTGCCTAGCTGTGAGATCTGGGCCACGACCTCAGTTTCCTCCTTTGGAAAATGGGCATAATGATGTGCCCCCCGCTCACCAGGGTTGTTGAGGGATTTAAACGAGACCACAACTTTGGAAAAGTGTCAGCGTGAGAGGTTAATATGCCTCTCATTAATGGGTGAAAGAGAACGGGCCCCCATCAGCATAATTAGCTCACCACAGCAGTTTTCGATAGGCCTCTTCTAAGGATGCTGTTTGTTTTGGTTGTAGCCCAATGGAGAATTTGCGAGACCCGAAGAAGCCTTTGCCAAAGAGGAGAGCCAGGTCTCTGGACAGGTCGCAGGACCCCAGGAAGGACTCAGGGTCGGGCGACTGCCAATGTCTCTCTCTGCACAGCACCCACACCAAGAAGGAACTTCGCCGGACGGCCAGCGATGGGGCCAGATGTTTCCAGAGCCCAGCTCAGCCTGCAGAGGCTGAGGGCACCATGGCCACTGCCCTCAGTCTGGAGAAGACCAACAAGCTTATCCTCGGTGAGCAGAGCTCACCACAGGACACCAAGAAGGGCAAAGCCCATAGGTGGGCCCAGCAGGGGCTGCTGAAAGCCCTGTTCAGCTTCTTCCTGAGGACGAGTCCTGAGGAGCCCAGAGAAAAGGCCAGCAGGAGGTCAAAGAGGAAGGAGAACCTCTCCCAGCCTACTGAGTCCCCTGTGACCCCTGAGCAGCCAGCCATTAGAAAGAAATCCCATGACAAGAAGTCCAGCCGGAAGAAAGCCTCTAGTTACAGGAAACATATCGCTGAGCAAACGAAGGCTGTTCCAGATCAGGAGGCTGCTGCATACCCTGAGGAGGCTGCCCTGGGCCCAACTCGCAGGGGTAAGCACATGCTCGCATCCCCCGGTCCCTGCCACCAAAGGGCTAGGGTACTTGTTCCTCAAACCTCTCAGTAGAGGGGTCATGAAGGTGGGGGAACTTTTGGGGACAATGCCACTGTGAAATTTCTATGGGGCAGAACAGCACAGTGACTGATAACTTGAGATAAAACTCCAGCTCCACCATGAGCTAGCTGTGTGACCTAGAGCTGGTGATTTTCCTCTTGGAGCCTCAATATTTTTTCATTGGTAAAATGGAGATAATAGTTGCTGTCTCATGGGGTAGTCACATGAATAAAACCAAAAACCAAACCCATTGCTGTTGAGGTGATTCCACCTCATAGTTGACCCTATAGGACAGGCTAGAACTGCCCCATAGGATTTCCAACGCTGGAATCTGTACAAAAGCAGACTGCCACATCTTTCTCTTGAGGAGCAGCTGGTGGGTTCGAACCTCCAACCTTTCAGTTAGCAGCCGAGTGCTTAACCACTGCACCACCAGGGCTCCTTGGTCACATGAATAATGCTTAGTAAATGGTGGCTGTTGTGAAGTACTCCTGTTTGAGAAGTATGGTCCTAGGAGGAAGGGGGAAAACAGGGGGTGGGGAGGTGGAGGCGGGGGATAAGAGGAAAGCCCTACCCTTCACATTGGTCCATAATGTAAGGACCTGGGGCAGGTGCTGGGAAAAGAGACGGCTGCTGGGGTGCTGAAGACCTTGGTTCTGGACTTGACTCTGTTAAGAATAAACTTACTGTGTGACCTTGAGCTAGCCACAGATCTTCTCTGGAATGAGAGAGCTGGTCCCCCAGGTGCCTTCCGGTTCTGACTCCTGGAACCTTGGGAATGAATTTCTAAGATGCCCTGCAGGCATCTGCAGGGGATGGAGCTTTGCCCTGTAGAACTTGAAACTCACTGTGATATTAATGGGGAGAAGAGACCCCGGGAAGAACTAGGATTTACTTTCTTGGTGGTAGTGGGGTAGGGGGGGAGTAGGTGGAGAGGGAGATGGATGGAGGCGGCCTCTTTTCAAATCAAAACCTTGGTGGGGTCCTGATGTTTTGGTTAAGCCTAGAGCTGGCTACAGCTTTGGATCCTGTGCTGTTTCCTTATCTCAATTGACAAGGTCAGATGCATATCACTGACCACCCCCCCAACTCACTTTCATCTTTGTTCCAGGCCGAGAAGATCCTGATCTGCATGAGTCCTTGTTCACTGAAGGCGGGTATGCTGAAGTCAAGGATGATTCTCCCCAAGCTATAGGTCACCAGAGGGAAGGGGAGCGACAGCTTGATGGTTAGTCAGAATCTAGTTAGGTTCCTTTTTGCTTATAGGTGGGACTAATGGCTCTGAACGCTTACATAGACCTTGGATGGTCACGCTCAATATCTGTGCACTGTTCTCCGCATTTCTGGTGCTTCTGGTCATGTATACTTGCTTTAGAGTTTCACAAGAGGGAGTCTTAGGAATCAGAAAGGCAAATACACCTTATGGCAAATAAAAAACCAAAAAAACCAATTGCCATGAAGTTAATTCTGACTCATGGTGACCCAGTGTGTGTTAGAGTGGAGCTGTGCTCCATACGGTTTTCAGTGGCTGATATTTTGGGAAGTAGATCACCACTCCTTTCTTCTGAATCACCTCTAGGTGGACTTGAATCTCCAACATTTTGGCTAGTAGCCGAGCGTATTACCTACTTGTAATAGGGACTACATTAATGGGAATGGGGCTTTTTTTTTTTTTTTCTTTTAAAAATATATAATAATTCACACTCATATACTGACACCTAGATTCAACAATGGTTAACAAACTGCCACGTTTGCTTCATATGTCTGTATAATTTTGTTGCTAAACCTTTTTAAAGTAAAATCAGGCTTCACTCCTAAATGCTTACGCATGCATCTCCAAAAACTAAGGACATTCTCATATACAACCACCATGCCACTGCTGAGCCTAGCAAAATTAACAGTCATTCCCTATTCATCCAATTCCCTGTATAAAACAAACAAACAAAAAAACCAAAAACCAAACCTGTTGCCATCGAGTCGGTTCAAACTCATTAGCGACCCTATAGGACAGAGTAGAACTGCCCCACAGGGTTTCCACAGAGCAGCTGGTGGATTCGAACTACCAACCTTTTGGTTAGCAGCCATAGCTCTTAACCACTATACCACCCAGGTTTCCTGTAGAATGGGCATATTTTAAGAGATCTGCAACAGAGGAGCTATATGGTTCTGTTAAAGAATAACTAAGGGATGTAGTAATTATTTTGCGGGTTGTTTAGTTATTTTACATGTTAATTGTTTTCTCACACGAGAGGGAGTCAGCTGGTAGACCAAGTCAAGGAACAAAAGCCAAAACGAATTTATAAGTAAGAGGAAAGTAAAGGAGGGAAACAAAAAACAAAAACCAAACCCGTTGCCATTGAGTCAATTCCGACTCATAGTGACCCTACAGGACAAAGTAGAACTGCCCCGTGGAGTTTCCAAGGAGCGGCTGGTGGATTTGAACTGCCGACCTTTTGGTTTGCAGCCTAAGCTAACCAAGGAGGGAAAGGAGGGGGTGAAAAAAACTGCAGTCAGCCTGGGAACAGTGAATATTATCTGCACGTGTTTCTGTGTAAACGATCAGCTGGCAGCTAGCAGAGGTCAGTCTGGGAATAATTGTCCTTGAGTAGGTTGACTGAGGTATCAAAGAAAATCATTTCCGTTGTTTGTGGATTCTCCAAGAAACCTTGCGAGTGTGGCTGAGGTGCTTAAGTGGCAGGCTGTCTCTGAGTCATGGCTGCTGGTTTCCTTCTGTCCTTTACCTTAGTTAGGCCAGGTCTCCACTGTTTCCTCTACTGATATTTAGCAGATTGGAAGATCAGCATCAGCCTTACAAAATGTTTCCAAGTGCAGCTGCTCATTTCATGGCTCCCAGCCTTCTGAGGGAGGTAGGATAGGGATTACAATCCACTTTTCACAGGGGGAAGCAGTTGAGGCCCAGAGAGGTTAACAGACTTACCCATGGTCACACAGCTTGCTGAACCCAAAGTAGATAGTTACAGACATGTGAAGTTCAGAGGAAGTAATGGGGCACAGGTTGAATGCCCAGAGGGCTGACTTGAACTCTTCTGCATAAAAATTCATGCTTTGGTTTCTTACCTTCACCCTGTGGATCTTCCGGTGCCCTCCAACTCTCTCTCAGAAGGACCAGCTCTGGGATGTGGTGCTTTTTCCTCCTTCTGTGGCCTGAGGAACTATTTTAGGAGAGCACTTACCCAATCCTGAAGGCCCAAGTCCATCTCAGAAGTCCAAGACAGTCATTTAGAAAGAATTCTCTGTGCATTTGGAAAGATTAACCGGGTACATTCTCTTTCTTCTAGAGGATGCTATCATCCAAGTGATAGTGAAATTACTCCAGAAAATGGGAGATGATTGGGAGGAAAAGGTAAGGGGTAAACCACCTGTGTATGTCCCCAGAGGCTCACTGCCTCTTCTTCTCATTCAGACTCCGCCTGTCCTTCCAGGCCTGGCTCCAGCTGCTCCCCGCCCTTGAGTTCCCCCTAATCCCTTCAACTTCAGACCTCAGTCTTCCCTGGGCTCTTGGCTCTGTCTGGGCCACCCTGTAGCACTTGGCTGCTTTCCAGCTTTTCCTGAGGGAGCTTTCCCTTCTCTTCAGGTCAGTAGCCTTGACTCAGTTTCTCTCATCTTTCCCACAGAGACTTCAAACCCAGAAGCTTGAGATTGGTCTTCAAAACCAGGCTCCCATCTTTAGGAAGAAATCCCAAGAGAAAAAGTCCAGCTTCAGGAAAGCCTTTTCTCAAAAGAAGCATGACTCCGAGGAGCCCAAGAGAGTGGGGGTTGCAGATGTTTCCAGCCTAGAGGCCCGGACGCCCAAGAGGCCCAGCTTTCTGCCCCTGTGTGTTGGTGGCCATCCACCCTCCATCTCCAGCAGCACTGGTGAGCAGGCTCCACAGTAGCCATAGCAATACTGCAGCTGCCTCCAGCTCTGGAACCTTCCCCAGGGCTGGAGTTAGCCCTTATAAGGCTGCCATCCCAGTTCTGACTTTTGTATTCAGCCCCAAGTGATGTGGAGAGGGCTGTGGGGGAAAGAGAAGGGACTGGATATCAGCAGGTCACCTATCACCACACCCAGAACCTCCTTAAAGTCTAGGCAACCCGTTGATGGAAATTGTGTTCAGGGAAACCCAGCCATCCTCAGCTTCCACATCCTGGCAGCGGTAGTGTGTACAGGAAAGAACTGGAGCCTGGAAGGCAGGAGACCTGAGTGCTGAGCTGCACCTTCTATGTCATTCCCCATCTCTATGCCTCAGTTTCCTCACCTGTAAAATAAGACACCACCCTATTGCATATCTAGATCAGAATCAGTCCCCACAGCTACCTTATGAAGTACTTATATTGTCCCCATTTTACACATGAGGGAACTGAGGCTCAGGGAGGTTTTAAAGCAATGTGTTTAAGTCACATGGCCCATCAGTGATGGAGCCAGGGCTAGAGGAAGACAGGATCAGACAAATTATTTCATCCTGGCCAAGGGAATTTGCATTTTAAAAAGGAAGGGGGCAATGCTTGACACCAGAGAGTGAATCTCTAATGGTGGAATTTCAGGCCAAGAGGAGAGATATTTTCATGCGGGGGATTCTGGTCATGATCCATCAATTCATGCAATGAAAGAGGCATCTACTATTCACTTATGGATCAAGCAAAAATGGCGGAGGGATGGGGGAATCAGGGGAGGAAGGAGAGCCAGTGCTATGGAAGTGCAGAGGGATAAGGGAGCTTGGTCTCTTCAGTAAATCAGAAACCCAGCCCAGCCCAGCAGACCACCCCACCCACCAGCAAGGCCTTGGTGTGATTAGCCAACACACTGAGGTTAACACACCCGCATTTCATTTTGCCTTTCAGACTTGGAAGAACCTCAAGTCCCAGATGTTAGGAGCCCTACTCCCTTAAAGATCACCCCAGGAGCAAGAAGCCAGTGGCTTGAAGAGGAGTTGGAGCTGGACAGAGACTCCGAATCCAGTCAGTATCCCTACCTCATCTTTTCCTCAGGGGCCCCTCAGGAAACATGTGGCCTGACCCCTCCCCTTGAAGAAGAGAGACCAAGCCAGAGATGGGTGGTGACCTGCCCAGACCTCCCCACTGAGTGCAGCAGGCTGGGGAGGCAGGGCAGGGCCCAGAGCTCAGGCCCTGAGCCACACTGCCTGTTACCCTGTCTAAGCCTTGGCTGTAAACCAGCAGTGGTTGTAAAGCCCTCCTTGGTGAGGCTGCCATAGGTAATGCAAGGAACACTGGCCCTTGGCAAGGGCTTGGGAGACGGTAGTGATCTTTAGGGTCTGGGTTTGAATGTAGCTCTGACCCCTTGGAGTTGTGTGAACTTGGGAAAGTCACTTCATCTCTCTAGTCTGTTTCCTCATCTGTAAAATGGGGTTAATAATAGTACCTACTTCCTCAAGCTATTGGGAGGCTCTAAGTGAGTTAAAAGGAGCCCTTGTAGTGCAATAGTTAAGCCCTCGGCTGCTAACCGAAGAACTGGAAGGTTGATGGTTTCAACCCACCTGGAGCTCCACGGGAGAAAGATATGGTGATCTGCTTCCGTAAAGATTACAGCCAATAAAGACCGTGGAAGAAAAAATAGAGACAACACTAGGAGCCCTAACACATGGCATAAACAGAATACAAACCATGACTAACAATGCACAAACACCAGAAGAGAAACTGATAACTGGGAGTTCCTAAAAAATCAAACACTTATGCCAATCAAAAGACTTCACCAAAAGAGTAAAAAGAGGACTACAGACTGGGAAAAAATTTTTGGCTACGACATATCCGATAAGGGTCTAATCTCTAAAATCTACAAGATACTGCAACACCTCAACAACAAGAAGACAAATAACCCAATTAAAAACTGAGCAAAGGATATGAACAGACATTTCACCAAAGAAGACATTCAGGTGGCTAACAGATACATGAGGAAATGCTCATGATCATTAGCCATTGGAGAAATGCATATCAAAACTACAATGAGATACCATCTCACTCCAACAAGGCTGGCACTAATCCAAAAAACACAAAATAATATGTGTTGGAGAGGTTGTGGAGAGATTGGAACACTTATGCACCACTGGTGGGAATGTAAAATGGTACAACCACTTTGGAAATCGATTTGGTGCTTCCTTAAAAAGCTAGAAATAGAAGTTTCATACGATCCAGCAATTCCACTTCTTGGAATATATCCTAGAGAAATAAGAGCCATCACACAAATAGATATATGCACACCCATGTTCATTGCAGCACTGTTCACAATAGCAAAAAGATGGAAACAACCTAGGTGCCCGTCAACAGATGAATGGATAACCAAACTATGGTACACAATGGAATACTACGAAATGATAAAGAACAATGCTGAGTCTGTGAAACATCTCACAACATGAATGAATCTGGAGGGCATTATGCTGAGTGAAATAAGTCAGTCGCAGAAGGACTAATATTGTGTGAGACCACTATTATAAGAACTCAAGAAAAGGTTTAAACACAGAAGAAAATATTCTTTGATGGTTATGAGGGTGGGGAGGGAGGGAAAGGGGAATTCACTAGATAGAAGACAGAATCATCTTAGGTAAAGGGAAGGACAACACACAATACAGGGGAAGTCAGCACAACTGGACTAAAGCAAAAGCTAGGAAGTTTCCTGAAAACAACCAAACACTTTGAGGGACAGAGTAGCTGGGGCTGGGGTCTGGGCACCATAGTTTCAGGGAACATCTAGGTCAATTGGCATAACAAAGTTGATTAAGAAAATGTTCTGTATCCCACTTTGGTGAGTGGTGTCTGGGGTCTCAAAAGCTTGTGAGCAGCCATCTAAGATGCATCAATTGGTCCCAACCCACTTGGAGCAAAGGAGAATGAAGAACACCAAAGACACAAGGAAAATATTAGCC